TAGGTATCATGGGAATTTTGGCTAGGCAGAGATCAGGATTTCAACCCAGGAATGCACTTAGTGTGTCTACTGATAGTTGAAGGTTGTTGAGTGCCAGAAAAGTTCTGTGAAAAATGAAACAAAAAAATAGGACCCAAATGTAGGACTGGGAAGCCCAAACCAAACATCTTCCCACAGACACCAGCATGCCAAAGGGAGCAGCAGTCAATACCAATATGCTGCGTGTTCAAATTTCTGCCATCAGCTGCTCTCCTGCAGTGCTGCTGATGGAAAAAGGGCCATTTCCATCCTATTAATGCTTCCTCTCAATTTTCAAAGCTCCTTTTCTCTCCAGCACTGGTAGGAACTCCTCTCGCTTGAACAGTATAAATCTCAAAAAGAGCAACTCCAGTATATGTGGCTGACAACAGGCTTACTGAATCATATAAAAGTTGGTCAAATAGGAATTTGTCCAACAGTTACTTCATATATCTGCAGAGAAGTGGAAGCTTGGATATGAAGTGCTACAGCTTAGCCATTTAAAACCAATTTTGTCTAGAAAAGGGGAAAATACAACCCCAGACATTAATGTTTAGTTCTTCGACTATTTTCTTTCTTTTTACTATTTTACCATGAAACTGAAGATAAAGGCTGAAAAATGCTTCAAATAAGGCCATTAGAATGGGGATGATACCCATTCTACCTCTACAGATAAACCAGTGACCTGACTGATGGCCACCTCCAGAACTTGCCAAGTCAGCTTGTAAAAGTGCTCCGGGGATCCAAACAGCAGCTTCTAAGCATGGAAATAAAGGCCTGGTATCATGGGGCCTCCCTCCCGAGGGCCTGAGAGTGTTTGAAATTACTCACTAACCAGCTGCTGTGTTTGCAGAAGGTGGGTGCCACCTACGTGTGCGTGTACAGGCACACACCCGCCTTTGCAGAAGAAGAGCAAATATAATCAAATACAGACAAAAAAATAATCTTAGGTACACTAGCTTTGAATTAGAAGAGAGAGGTTATAAAAAATACTACTCTAAGTGCAACTGAGAAGAAATGCAGCCTATTTTTGAGCAGCAAATCTTACCAGTACCAATTTTCTTTCCTTTTATTTTTCATGCTTGCTCTTCATAGGTCAGGCTGATGTATCACAATTGAAATAGGATGAGCCAACAAGCTAGAGAAGATTTTACTTTCATATGGTAATAAAGGGTGCTGTTACATCATCTGGGTTCTGTACTTGAGCTTACTACTGCAAATACTCTAATAATTTGCATGCTAACCAAAGTTCCCCAGAGAAGTAAATTACAGAGTATTTGAGCCTTAAACCCCGGAGCAAGCAAATGTAAAACCCTGCACAAACATAAAAACTTGCACATCCAGCTGCCTCTTCCCTGTATTCGGCCTCTTTAAAAGACACAAGACTGTTGGATCAAAGCCTGACATCTATGCTGGTGACTGTCAGTCCTCACCGACATCTGAGAAAGTGCATGTTAGTCTGGGAATGTAAATGGCGCCTCTAGATAATGCAGCACCTCTGAAGAACTGGACTGCATTGCCAGAAATGGCAAGGAGCCCAATTCCTCTTCTGGGGACTTAGAATACTGACAGTCTTCTGGCCATCAAAATACTGTCAAGTGAGCCATTCAGTGACAAAGAACACAGTCTAAAGTGAGTACTTTTGTGATGCAAAGCCAAGAAGAAATACTGTCTGAGAGGGAAAAGTGTGTCTGTGTAGGGTTATGGCTTATGTTTCTGTAATAGTGTATCTGCACTACATGTATGGGCATATACTTACATGTATGTATATGCACTGTGTATGTATTTGTACCTCTTTGCCAAAGAACACAGGGGTGGTGCAGGCACTGTGGTTTGAAAAGCAGATACAACCTATTTTCCATGAAGCTGCTTCTCCAGTGCTGAATTTCATCCCAGCCAGCATATGGATTGATTATTGCAACACAGACTCATCACAAGATGAATCTCTGCCTACCTGTGAGGCTTTTGCGTCATGTCTCAAAGCCCAGAAATGTCACTGGAAAAACTTTCAGTGATTTCAGTGGCTTTCAGCTTGGCTCTGAGTTGAAATAAATGGGAACTGAGGGTTGTAGGGTTCCAGTTATTTCCAGTTACTGCAGTAATGAATAATACAGAGTTTACATTTCAGAGCATGTGGTTTGCTAAGGTGTCTGATGAATTCTTTTATTTACCACCCAATTTTGTACCTAAAGTGCAGGAGCTGTGGGAATCCTTAACTTTTATAAGCTAAGCCTATAAACTGAACCTGACCCAGGTTTAGTTTTCAGCATTCAGTTTCCCGACAAGCGTAACAGTTAAGATCTGCTTCTTTTACTTGGCAGATTGAAAGTAAAAAGAGAAGTGCTGTTCTAAAGAGGCACCAAGCCGCAGCTACTGGAGTAGCATCAGAACAGAGGTCCTGTTCCCAGTGGCTGGCTCCCTACAGCCTCTGCTACTGAATTCTCCCTCCCCAGAACAAAATGTCAGCATCGTCCTTTTCAGACGACTGTCAGGACTTACAGGTACGATTCACAAACCTCTCGCTGCGTTGCACTACACAGCAGGGTGAATCACCCATGGGTGCTAAGGATGTGCACTACTGAACAGCATATACGAGCTGTATTTAGAGATCCACTGAGAGAATCTCCAAACAGATTTCAAAGGATTCCATTTTTGAGTGCCTGGAGAATACAAAACCTAGACATATATTGCTCTGTTGCCAACATTTAAAATAAGCAGCAGAGAAGCCAAATTACTCTTCCACCATCCAGTGGTCTGTGAAGCCTGCAGCCCAGAAAGTGACACACACCACTTCCAAGCATGAAAATTTACATATATATAAAAATTACCTGAGGGGCCAATGCAAGGTTTTCTGCAACTCATTTTCCCAATACTTTTGTCTTAAGTTTACAGATCTAAGCAATAGTGCTTTTTAATTTGGACAAAATTTTTCTTCCACTTGGTAGCTCTCCCCTTGGCAGCACGTTTTTCTTGCTGTAACCCAAATTTTCCAAGGCTCAATCTCATGCATTACTCCTAAAATAGTTCTTCACCCTTGTAGAATCCTAAGTAATTCATATTCCTCCCTAATGTTTTGAGATTTACTTCTGTTAGGCATCTCCTAGTCAAATTAATACACGCATGTTTGCCAGCTCTCCTTAAATAACAACCCAACGCGCCTGTTGGTTGCTTTCCCCATTTAGCTTTTTCTCTAACTTGGCAACCTCTAAATAAGGTGTTTGTACCACGGGCATGCTGAAAGTTCAAAGTGAGTGTGAGAGGGGAATTAAACATTAACAAATGTGGCTTTGTTGCAGCAGCTGCTGCAGTAAGGACGTTGATGAATAAAGCACCCCCAGATTTAAATTACTAGGAGTCAGTTAGTCAGATCAGTTCTGCTTATGCTTACATCATAAGTGAATAAAGACTGCCACCATGAAGGTTGGCAAAAATTTGTATCCAGACCTCAAATTCTTTAGCTGGAAGACTGATAAGGGTATTGGTTCTGGATGGCTTGGTGAGGCAACCTTCCCATAAGGAAAATGCAGATAATGTCAGTTGATACATGGAGCTCATAAGGAACTTTGTATGATCATTGGAGAAAGCTAATTTAGAAATACTTTTTATCACTGTGAAGGAGGATTAGACACCACAAGCAAGCCAAATACATTATGAAAGGCCACCAGTGTTGTGTCCCAGTGCTAAGAAGGTTGAAAAGTCTGCCCTTGTACACTGGGTTTGAAGATGATAACCGTATCTGCTTGCAAAAAACATTTGAATTACCTTCATTACACATATCTGATTATTAAAAATCATTGTGGAATATGTTAACGCTTTGTATAAAACCAAGCTATAGCTTAGAATTGTTGAAATTTATTTTGTACCTTGACTTACCATTTAATCTGTAAGTCTTGCAAAACAGTAAAAGACATTAAGTATAGCATTGATAAGCAACTTATTTTGCCATTTGCCATTCTCATACCTTAATAGCGGTATAAAAATCTGAACTGAAAGAGGGAAAACTTAGTCAGAGGATGATAGCAGACAAGGTGCACTAATTTCAGGGGTTATGCCCATTACAAATATGAGCTACCACCATGATTTTTTAAATGTTTTTTCTTAAATGTTTTATGAAATATTTAAAGAGCTGCTTCTGTCAAAGAACTGGAAAAAAGTTACTCTAAAATAGGCTAGGGCATGTTAAACTAAAATGAACCACAAACTGAGATGAAGCCAGCTATCAGAGGACACACTGGCAAGTCCTGTCTTAGTAAGAGCGTACAGAAAGTCCATTTTGGTAAGACTGTACCCAAAGAAAACCTAACAGTTGTTCTAAGTAGTGGTACATGCCAAATTTCTCTTGGGACTATTGATGTTTAGCAAATATACTTCTGTTTGCAAGACTCAGGTAAAGAATATTCTTCATCTTAAAGATTCTTTAGAATCCTTAATCAACCGTATTTCCAGAGGGGAGGGGGATTTATTGTCCCACCCCTCTTCCCCTCCCCAAAGTGACATTTCACAACCAGTGTCCATCACTGGGTTTGGCTAGAAAGCAAATACAGTTCCACAGACTCCTCACGATGGACAATCTGGGGTTTATTTTCTAGTGTTACGAAGTCTATAAAGCAATTTTTTTTATGAAACCCAGGAGAGGGCGAGGACATACACAAAGCACTGTTATACTAAGGGTTTATTCACACTCACTGTAAAGGGCTGTGTAACTGCCTTTGCTATCTGAGTACAACATTGACTTGTGACATGGAACCTGAAGATTCAGATCAAGCACCTCAGTTAACCACAGCACTGAAACTGCATCCAATGTATAATATAGTATTCCTAAGTTAAATTAATTAAAAAACAAAAACATTCTGCTTACCCCCCGTGGTTTTGTGTGTTTTAAAACATTCAGAAATTTTGCTGGGCGAACTGTATCACCTTCTTATGAAGGAAGAACCCAAAGTATTGTTTATTTTTCAAAAGGAAAAATTATATTCACTTACATGATTTCTTTTGTTTTCTCCATCTTTTATAGATGTAATAACTGTCTCAGAAAAAACTGTTGATCCAGTTTTGTTATCTGTAACCTGACAAGGCAAAAGAACGAAACATCAAACTACATTTTTATTAGTCTTTTGTTACTCTCAGTTCTACATTCTGCAATAATTAACCCACCTCCGCCCCCTCCTTTTTTTCCCATTTTGCTGTCACTTGTATAAAATCCTAACCTGGGAGGAAATGTAGATGACAAGGCTACCTCCTTATCTATTTAAAATGTCACTGTAATGAAGCTAACTGAGTGGGAGATGGTCATGTAATAGCTGTACCTGTATTCTATTTTTAGCAGGCACTTTTTCCAAAACCAATTATTTCACATTAACCTTTTATGACATGCGGCCCTACACAGTGATTAGGCAAGCACATAAGATACAATGAAACCCCAGTGTAAATACCATCAGGAAAGTTTATGGTCCAAATTATCTTAAATCACCCCAAAACATGCAAGGTTGTTTTTATTTCTGAAGAAAAGGTGTGTAAGGACCAGCAGCTTGCTAGACATGTTTTCTCATACCTTATCAATTTCTTGATGAGTCTGAACAGTTTTATTACCAATTCTGGTTTCCGTGTTGGACTCATTATGGTAGTTGGGAGGTAAGTTTTCAAAGTTTACTTCTGACAGTTTTTTTGCCCCTTCCTCTTCAGCTTCCATCTGCCAAATTTAAATAGACCAACGCAAAATTAGCAACAATGACACAAAAGAGAGCAAGCAACACTTCTTGTGCAGCCCTCAGTAACATCCTGATTAATTATGTCATGCTGTTAGTATAGATCCCCCTGTGCCAGAACGCTTACTCAGCTGTTTCAGCCACCACGACAGCAGCTCTCTCAATGGACTAGAAAAACAGTGGCGAGCTAAGCCCTTGAGCTCTGGGCTGTTTAAGCCACTCAGTCTGTGTGAGCAAAAAGCACGCGAACACTAGTGACAATTTGTTATCTGCACAGGCTGATGCCAGGCAACAGCCCAGCTTTCTGTTTTTCCCAGAAAACCCCTGAACACTTAAGACCGACCTTCCCATCAGACAAAAAGAGACACTGTTCTGTCAGGATGGAGAGACACAGCCAAACGCCCTTGAAGGGGGCAGCAGCCCTGGAGATCAGGGTGTGAACACCCAGAATCTCATCCTCTGTTTAGTTCGCACTGTCTCTGTTTGCCAGACGAAGCCTCAACACAGAGGAGTGCTCTCTGAATCAGAAGAGTACGCTCAGCAAAGGGCCTTGTAAACAACACAAACTCTGAGGAAGTTGTGTCCCTTTGTTATCTGCAACTGCTCTAACAGAGCTAGGAGGCCACATGTTCAGCCAGACTGAACAACAGAATTTTCCCCAAGACAAAATTTCTCATTCTGGTGTGTCTGTTTATTTTAAACGACAGCCGCAAACCTTGTTGAGTGTAAAGCATTTATCTGCTACGAAGCAGGTCAGATGATCCACACTTTGTGCTGTACACAGACATTCCTCAATCCTGAACTGACTGGGAAATTGTAAAACGGGCAGAAATTTTGACTTCATCCTTATTTATAACTAAGCATATTTTTGGCACTGCATACTTTAAAATAAATTGTTTGTCTGTGTGTTTGCAGTCTAAATGAAGCGGATGACAGAGGTAGATTTCAGCAACTGCCCAGAGGACAGTGAAAGTTCAGAAATTATCTAATTCAGGTCTGTTTCCCCAGTGGGCTGTCAGCAGAAGGGTTTTTTCAGACTATGTGGTTTTGAGTGAGAGGAAAAGAGAACTTGGGAGGAAGATTCTTAACATGAAGGAAGAAAACCTCAGAAGGGGGATGTAGGAAAAAGGTCTTTTGATAACGATAGGAGACGATGGTTCAGGGTCTAGACTCGGTGCCTGGCTTTGAAACAGGTCCTGTGCGATTCTGGGCAAGCAAGTCGAGATCAAGACGCGGCATTATGTCAGAGGTAAGCTGCTTCTCCGCACGTGTTTTCAGGACTGTCTTACACCTCTGAATCCTGGTGTGGGCTAACCTCCTGTGCCTCAGTTCCTGCTGCACAAAGACAGTAAAATAACTCCTCACCCCTCCCCTTGCCACGTGCTGTTATTTTCCCACTTTCGGATGCGGAGGGGCTCGCTGTCTGCATTCTGCCTCCCCACCTGCCTGCACGGCTGCG